TCCTGTCACTCAGCATTTCAAAGTAAGTGTTGCCATTTTGCTAACTGCACTTCACATATGGACATATCTAGGATCTGAAAGCACTAGTATTTCTATTTCTTTTTTACCTCTATATCACCTGCAGCGGCACCTCTCTCAACATCATAACGTACAACAAAATCACCATTGAGGAGGGTTTCCTCAAGTTCAGGATTTACCTTCTGTTGATCTACAGTTGGCTTAAATAAAATATGAGCCTGCAAAGTAATCAGAAGAAAAAATTTAAGGCAACGTAACTTAAAGATACCACCAGCAGTAACATCTGGCATCTGCTGCTTTACCTTGGTTTCATTCTGCACTTTTGTGAGCGCCTCACTTAACTCATTTGTCATAAACGTGCTGTCTGTCTCCAAGAAGCGTATGCCTTGGGGCTCGAAGATGTGCACATCAATCTGACAGTGGAGAAGATGTCAGCATCAGCATCTCGGAGGGAAGGCAGCCGTGCCTGAAAAACCCCATGCTGCTCCTTGCCCAGCCCTTGCTGGGGCAGCTCACCTGGAAGTGCTTAACAAGCTGCTTCGGTCGGAGCTTGATCAGCAGCTCGAACTTCCCCAGCTGCCGCTTCAACAGCTCCTCATACCTCAGCTCAAAAGTGACTTTGCTGGCGGCTGCAATGCTGACAGACACATGAAACTGCTCCAGTTTTCTGCCTGTGATTCTGGGGGGGTAGAGAACAGAGATTTACCTCCTACTGGGAAGGTTCGCTTGTGGTGGCCAAAGTTTATGAAGTGTGCTAAATAATGGCCAAGGGGCTGCATAGAATGAATAAAAGAACAGTAGCAGTGAGTCTTATTCATCACAGAGATTTTTTTACCTTGCAGGCAGTACTGTATACATCACATATATTACACCAGTGTGCTACGGGTGCTGCCTATGCAAGCTGAGAAATGGAGCAGAAACCTCTGCATGCTTTAGACTGGGATCAAGCAGAACTGGGACTGAATACATGGGAAGCTCAAAAGCATGATGTCTGCTCAAGTGCCACGGTCCTCTGCGCTTGAAGGGAAGCAGACTCAATGACTGAGCATCATCCCAGCCCAGCAAGGTGCTCCCATGTGACAGCAAGTCCCAGGGCAACATTAGACACTGACACCTCCCACTGAAGCCCATTGCAGGACCAGATATAAATCACATGTACATGAATATATATATACATATACGTACACACATGCACACACACACCCTCTCTGACCCTCCCAACAAGAACCCAAGGCTGCTTTTCACATTTATCTCTGCTGAGAGGTGGCTGGGTCCAGGGCTTAACCTGCCCCCAGCCGAATGAAAAGCTGAGAAAGAGCATTGGAGCAGCCTTACTCAGGACAGCAACGTACTTGACGAGGCTAGCGCTCTGCCCACGTGAGACCGCAGTGTCATATTCCTTTTGAGCAGAAGCTCTCTCCTTTATTATTCCTGGGTATACTTTATCATCGATGGACCTGTTTGGTTTCCATAAAAATTAATACTAGAAGGAAAGCGCTGGGGAAAGAAACAAGAGGAACGCTGCATTTCGTGGCCCTCAGGGCATGAGCAGGGGACACTGGCTCCCACATCCCTCCCCATCCAGGAGAATGCCAGGAGCCACCACCACAATATAGCCTTCCTCCTTGCAGGGTCTCAGGGAGGCTGGAGCAGGAGAAACACTACCGCCAAGCACGTTTGTCACCCAGCCTGTGCAGCGGGCTGGGCACCTTCTTTCTATTTGGCTGCCTCCTACTTTGCCCCATAAAGCATTTTGTGCAGGACCCTCTAGAGCTCATCTGTTTGTGCTTTTTGCTCAGCATCTCCTGAGAAGAAGGATTAAGCCCCCCCCAGCCCCCAGAGCTGCTGCCTTCACACTGCAGGTAAGGACTAGCCCTACATGGAGAAGTTGGTGAGGAACGCCGTCTTGGGTAACTCCACTTCAAATGTTGCCTCTCTGGACTCATTATCTCGGTTGACAATTTTGCTGATGATGACTGTGTGAGCAAACCGTGATGTGATCTTGCAGTCCACATGGAGGCTGTAGATTTCAATAGGATGCTGGAAAAAAGTTAAACAGGCTGAAAAAGAACCACTCAGTTTTTGCTCCCAGGCAGTCCTCACCTGTGTGATGTTACTGGAAAAGTTTAATGAATTCATGAACTCTTAGAAGGATCAGCTGGAACTGGGAAGGAGAAATCACTCATGACCGGACTGGCCATCTGCTTATTCACATCTCTGCGGCTGCAACCACAGCCCCATGCAAAATCTGCAGCTCCATCTGCATGTTGTTACTCCACAGAAGGCTTCTGTCGAGCCTTTTTCTGTGGTCTTCTCTCCTCAGGGTACTCTGAAGCAGCTGCTGTGTCACCCCAATGCATCGCCCAAGATTAACCTCAGAAAAATCAGATGCCTCTAAATGCTCAACTCATGGAAAGAGACTTGCTAGCTCTTTGCACAACTGTTTATTTGCTCTCCCAGCTGTTGACTTTGCTGCATGTTTTTCAGCTTGGTGCCTTGTGTCACATATGATGTTTAGCAGGTTTGAAACCCCGCATGGGCCTCCAACCCCTCGCTGGTTGCACAAGCAGGGATGCCCTTTGAGCACTTGTGTTTCTCCTGGTCTGGTGCTTCCAGGGCACCCGGCACTCAAGGGAGGAGGGCACCATCCTGGAGCTGCTCAGGAACACCCCACAGGGTGGCTGGACTAGGAATTGCCTGGAGCACCCACCTCCATAAACACCCTTCTTTTGTATTTGGGATGTCTGTTTTAGAGGCCCTACCTGTGTTTGAGCAGTAACACTAAGAAGCGACACTTTCACCAGCCTCACAATAGCCCAATAGTTTATTAAAGTTAAAAAGCTCAAAGCAGACCATCACACTTATATTTTTACTTATGCAGCCTCACAAATCTTTTGAATGGCTAATTGATTTTTAGGTTTTTTTGATAATTCATCTCCTGTGCTTTCCTCACCAATTAATAGCATCCACTGGCCTCTTATTTAGGGCATGGCCGAAATTCAAAAGTTCAATCAAGATAAACATGGCCATTTAATACAAAGCTGTGACCACAGCTTTGGTCTGGGGCATCAGGGCAGGGAGATGCCACAGCCAACACCATGTAAGTAATGGATGGTTGCTTCTTTTTTCGCTATACATTGCTGGAGATGTTCCATCTCCTGATGCCTACTGACAATCCAAGACAATGGAGAAAAACCCAAAAATATTAATTGAGAGAACAATTTCCTGATCCTGGCAGTTTGGGTGCCTCTCCCTGCTGCCCTCCCCCAGCAGGAGCCCTCCCTGCCCAGGCTGGGGCTGTCTCTCCTAGGAGTGTCTCTTCCCAAAGGCTTTCTGAGTATCCTCGAGCACCTCTGCTCACATTTGCTGCCCTGCTGTGCTCAAACCTGCCCGTGGCACTTTCAGAGGGGAGGTTTTGTCATGACTGAGGAGCACCGAGCCTGGGCTCATTGGGTCAGCGCAGGCACATGGTGGCCATTGCTGCCCATGGAGCATCCTTCTGGCACAGGAGGAGCTTGCTCTGTGCAAAACCCACCCTGCCACCATGTGCCAAAGGGATGCTGCAGGGCTGAGGGGATGGGGACCTGCATTGCCTGCCCTTGGCCAGCCCCAGCAGGATTTTAGGCTGTGACCCACACAAACGAGCACACAGCAGGGTGCCGCACGGTAAGGTGCATCGCCGTGCCCTTAGTGAAGGAGGCAGGAGAGAACCAACCCCAGGTGTCTACTTGAAAGCGGTGGGGAGCAACTTGTGGCTTCTCCCCAAGGCACTGCAAGCCCATACACTATACATGCCCCTGCAGCAGCCACAAGACCTACCCCTGCCTCCCAGAAACCCACCTGCATTTCAATTGCATTTCACACTTTTCTGAATAGGCACGATGGAAATAAAAACCTTCCAACATAAGGCTTCTTCTGTTTCTCTAATACTGACATTTTAAAAATAAGACCAGTTGCATGCACCCTGAGATGATACGAAACAAAGCTGGCTTCTTCAGATGGTACAAATAGCTGTGTACTCCCCTCTTTTCTGTTCTATATTAAGTTGTTAAATGCCTGTCAGAAACCTCCTGGCACTGCAGTGGTCCTCGTTCGATCCTGCTGTAATGGCACTGTGTCAAGATCCAAACCTCTCCTGGTGGCTGAGGGAGACCCACTGAGCCTTCAAATTCGGTATTTACATCCCTGGGGAAAAGTGTGATCAGACATATCTGCAAATGCCCTCCCACCACTTTTACACCACAACAGCCCAAATAAATAACCAAAAAGGCCTTAAAGGGACCCAAAGCTCTGAAATCACCACACAATACACCTGAGGTTCCACAGGAGGTAGCTACCTGCATGGTGGCTGGCTACCGCAATACCACCAGATCACCAAATCAGCAAACAAGATATTGTTAAAAAATATAATAGAAGAAATACCTTTTCAGCAATAGTTTCTGCTAATACTGTGAGCGAGGAAAAGACGATCAATGCAAGAAACAGTCTCTCCTCCATTTTGGAAAGACCATTTTTTCAAATGAAAACTCAGTTTATCTTAATCAGTTAATGAGTAACTTGTACTTGGGGATATTACATAGACTTTGAAGAGACCCAGAAACTTAATATTTACATGTTAAACATAGGTAAAACTTAGACTCAGTTAAAGTTTATTTTTCCAACAAATCTTTGCTGTTAAACATTAGAATTGTTATGTTTCATAAAGCATAAAGTTAAGAATTCTTTAGGTTTTCTTTTTAAACTTAGATCTCGCTGTGGCACATAAAGTCCCACAGGCAGATGAACTGGTCTGCGCAACAAGCTGCATTTTTGGATGCCCAAATCTCTGCCATATCCAACAGTAATAATTTGAAAGGGCACATCCTTAACATTATCTGAAGCGCTTCAGAGATTTGGAGATTGCCAAGACACGTAACGTGAGATTGTACAGCTGGTGACTTTTTCAAACCTTGTGCCTCCCTGCCCAACCGGCCCATGAGAGGCGTGGAGTGGGCCTCTTGAAACATCCTTTTTTGCTTCCTCTGACAAGCCATAATCCTCACTTGTCAAACAAAGTCAGTTGTGGCTTATCTTTAGCTAAAGAGTAAAACCAAAGTAATCAGACTGTGCCTGGACTCCCTCGGGAGAGATGTGCCAAGCCAGTGCTGTACGTACATGTAAATAGATCTACGAAGAAGACACAAACCACCCAAAAAAACAGTCCAACAACATCCATGCATGGGAGAATGTCTGGCCTTGTCCGGCTCTAACACAGCTGTGATGGATTCAGCTGAGGATTCTGCAAAACTGCCTTTAGCCTGCTCGCTCAGTGGGAATGTTTGCACAAAAGGTTGGTGCTGGGAGAGCTCTGCACCTCGAAACTGAGTGGGATGACTCTTTTCACCTCCTATTTTATCACAAAATCTTCATCCAATGGGGACTTGGAACAGTTCTTGTGAAGCTTTTGTTGGTCAAGAGTTGGCTTGTAGCCCTGAAAAGAGAAATTCTCTTACAAGTCCACAGTTTTATACACAAGTAATTATGGACAGTGTTATACTAACATAATTCCCAAAATACATGCTCACTCATGTGGTGTTTAGGTAGCCTCCTAATGCAAGACAGCTGACATGACTATTTAAAAGATATTTCTCCATCTGAGTAGTTGTAATAGCTGACTCTTCTACAAAGCATTTTAAACACATTGTGGGGAAATAACTGGTTTTTTAGGCATTAAGGTAGACAGACCCTAGGCAGAACACATTTCAAAAGTTCGTCTCCTGAGTGCTACATCTGGGGAAATCAAGGTGAGAAAATGGGGGTTGGGTAACAAAGTGTCATGAGCCATTGCTGTCTGGGGTGCCTCTTCAGGCCTTACTTGGTTTATTGGAAAGCGTTCAGAGGGCTTCATTTGTTCATTCATTCCCAGTGCGAGAAAAAGAAAACATTTGAAATCTTGAAAATATCAACAGGACAGGAAAAATAACACCCCTCAGGGCTGTAGTTCAGAGGATCTCTTAGGCATATGCAGCTGCTGCGTCAGCCCCTAGTTCCTGTATTTATTTAAATGAAAACACATACACAGGTAGGTTAACAAGCAACCAGCTGGTGCTGTGGAGAGATGCAATCCAGAAAGACCCCCTCTCCCCTCAGCCCTGAGCAGATGAAGGCTGAATCCTGCCCTCCCTGCCCATCTGCCCTGTGCTGGCAGCTCCATGATAGCAGACAGCCCTTTGTCAGCTAAACCTACAGTCTGTCCACACAAAAACACTTTTTCATATAGCTTTTTGACAGCACTTTTCCCCTTACAACTCCATGGTAGGTGAAGCCATTAATTTTCCTAAAGTAACACGAAGATCCTGTGGAAATACATACATTTGCTTCATTGCCATTTTACAGACAAAGCATCCACGTGGAGAGCATGCTTCCCGTGGCCTTGGATTTGTGAGGAGACACTAACGCAGGGCTCGATAATTTATTGCTTTGACAGACATCTACAAGTTCATTATAAAGAGTCTGTTGAGCAGAGTCTGGCCTTACAAGGCTTGTGCTTTAAGTAACTTTTTTCAAAAATAAACTTCACTTCTTCCAGGCAGACTGTTTATACTACTTGCAAATACTGTGTTGTTTATAGCAGGACATGTAAATATGTGTATTCTAACAGAGAAAAATTAAAACTGATCTACATTTGATTACTTCTACAACTTGTGTAATGCTTTAATCCCTTAAAATACACAGGATTATACACTTAGTGGCCTAAGATCCCCAAGAGCCATAGCTTTAGCTTTAATTAAGTGGATCTGTCATCGGTTTTCTAATACCCACATGTGAAATCACACAGATGCTAAAGAGCTGCTTTAGCTGTGTAGATTTAGGCTGCATGGTTGGCTCTGCCCTGCTCCTGGGTGCACAGAATGGGCCAGCACCCAGGGAAGCTGTGAAATCCCCCCCTTTGTGGCTTGCTAGAGCAGCTACAGGAAAATCCTCATGCTCAGCCTTCTCCCCAGACTTGCCCTCTTTCTGTACCAACCGCCAACGACAGCCACGCCTGCTGATGTCCAGTGGCTGTTGTTGCTGGTGCAGTGGGCACCAGTGCTGCCCCACCCAGTGCTTCTCACTGAGGAATGAACATGCTGTGAAGTGACTTCAGATCACCTTAGAGGAAGGATCTAAATCCACCACCACAACAGGAGACGCTTCTGAGTGCAAAATAACCAAAAACCTCAAACCCTGGGGCTTTGTTCAGACACTTCTCTGTCACTATTTCTCATTATGAAAATGAGGAAAAAAGAAGACACATTTTCCATGATTTGATTTAGCAGATTTGCAAGGATGAAGAAAAAGATGACAAAAGTTTCTCCAGGTAGCTTTATATTTGTTCCTCTCACCTACAAGTATCTCCTGTCCTGCAGCAGCAGCCAGTAACTTCCAGCACAGGAGCAAGGCTGGGGACAGGGGAAGATTCCTCCAATTCATATAGGAGAGCCCAGACGCTGCTGTCACAAATGAGGAGCAACTTTGACTCAGGCATACATTTTACCTACAATGCATATTTTTTTAGATGAGGTCCATCTCGAAAGACAGAAAAAAAAAAAAAAACAACAAAAAAAAAAAGATCCCTGGTCCTGGGCACTTACTGTCACACTGGGAAGCATCACAAATGCCCAAGGACATCCTGGAAACAAAGCTGTCAGCAAAATCTCAAGTTTCTGGGGGATAACTTACTTTGCTTTCCTGCTGCATCCGCGCTGAAGTCCATGGGACAGATTGGTTTCTGTACTTCACTAAATCGGCACCAACACACCCGAAGCCAGGTCTGAAATAGAGCACACCCCACACCCCCCCCTTCTGCTACCCAGCTGACTATATTTGCAATATTCAGTCACCTGCATCATACAAAGAAAGTGATAACAGTATTTTGCCCCACTTGTCCCTCTCCATCATTTTCCAGTTATTAAACAACCTCCTTCCAACTTCTCATCACAGATTAATTAAGGAGAGTTTGTTAACCTGATGCAGGGACAGCTCTAGTGTTATCAGGTGGAAACTTTTACTCCACTGTGTTTTCTTTTGTTTTGTTCCAAAGCTCTGGAAGGGGTCTTTCTCAGAGGAACAGGCTGTGCTGAGTTACCTGTGAGGAGCCTGGGCCCCCTGCAGAAATATTGTCCAGCAGAGAGAGAAGGCAGGGTCATGGCTGCAAGTAATGATCTTTGGAAGTGAAAAAAATGGGGCAGGGCAACATACCAGTGATATGTGGTTTTTGTTTTTGTTTTTTTTTAAGGAAACCTCCCTCTTAAAACCCAAAGGATTTGCTGCTGCCTTATGCGAGTCCTGCTCCCCAGCCCCTCTGGGAGCTTCATGGATATTGACATGTTTTAGCTGTCAAGTGTTTGGAACACAAAAGACAAAGATGATATGCTTCATAGTGCACAGAGACCTTTGATATCACTTTTACCTCTTAATCAGACGTAGCCAGTGCAAAATTAAAGTAATTATTTAAATAAAGGTGGCACCTACCTTAACGTCCCTGGATGTGCTGCCAGGGGCCCAGGGTGCGTGGGAGCAAAGGATCAGCCATATTTGAGCACAAAGATCCAGCTGAGGGGAAATACTGCAATTTATAAGCTCAGGGGAACACAGGTTTGATGTTTAATGCAGCAAATCAAGATGTAAAGATTTGCAAAACCCACCTTCCACTCAGAGTGGGTTTGCTGTTGTACAGACACTCTGCAGTCAGGAGGGACATGGCACTTGTGCTGCCGGTCTGTCGCCCCACTTCTCACTTGATCCAACAGAACACTGAGGACTTGAGGAAAGCCTGAAAGTCCTCCCTTGGCACTAGGGCACTGACAGCCCAGCATCTTGCCTCCCATGGGCAAACCATGGCCCTGCTGCCAGAGGGCTGTGAGGGGGTCACCGCCCTGTGGCACACCCCAGTCCTGAGAGGCCTCGCCAGGGCACTGCTGCAGGCAAGCACAGATTTGGGTGAAGTTTCCAGGTTTCTGTGAGGCCCCTTCAACAGCTCCTCCTCAGCTCCCTCTTGGCAAGGGCACAGTGTGAAGAAATTGCACAGACTCTAAAACTGTGTCATCTGGATGTTTATTCTTTGTGTTTGACAGACTAGATCATAGCTTGTAATGCCAAAGTGCCCACAGAATTAATCTAAGTTAAAAGTAGTCACCACAGTGTGCCAAGCTGTCTCCAACAACATTTTTTTATTAAACCATTATAGCAAACACCATTCAACACACAGAAAGAAAGCACATAATAAAAATTAACATGTAAATTGTACCCTTTGACATGAGTCTATTCCCTACTTAATGACTTATAATAAAAATTAGCTACTTGGGTCTACCGTGACTTTAGTGTAAGGGGCAGAAATTTGGGAACACGTTACAACAATCATCTGGGTGAGACACATCCGGCTCTGCCATCAGCCAAAGACGCTCTTGGCTGGCTCTCCTTTCGGTTTCTCAAAGACTGTTTCATCCCCTGTCCGGTCCCGGCTGAATATGGAGGGTGCTGCAGAGCCCATTTGTTCTTGGAAAAGAAAACCAGGAGAGGCAATCAGTGAAGCAGCACATCAAATACGGGGATAAAAACTAGTGCTGCTGAAATACATATATACACATTTGATAAATATTTCACCTATCCATCAACTTCCCAAACCTTAAAGCACAGCGCTCCCACCACAAGTATGGGGCAGCTGGCAGCACCTGTAGGTGGTCGCTACCATTGACTGGCCCCAAATCCCTGCAGGTGCTTTAGAAACTTGGAAACTACTGAGGTCCAGGTTATTATGCTGAAAATGGGTTAAAATTCATCATTTTTCCTTATACTCTCCCACTGGTGAGAGTGGGAGAGTAAAGCAACACAAAACCAGAACACCTGGGGTGTTCAGTGCAACCAGCCACTCTCTTCTTTCTCACCTTCTGCCCTTTCACAGAATCTCTGCTAAAACAGCTTCACCTAGAGCAGGTTGCACAGGAAATCCCCCCCAATTTCTATTTGATTCCAAACACAACAGGTTCATCCAATTGAAAGGTCAGAAATCCCCTAATCTATGACCAAGCCTCTGATCTTCAGCTTGGGCAGTCACTGACGTTGACTACAGCCCCAGGGCTTGGTTCGAACCCTGGTTCAGAAGGCAAAGTCAGGGCTTTCCCTCCCGCTTTGTCCAGACAGGGAGGACAATCACGCCAAGCACAGCCCTGCTGGCTCCTCTTGGTGCCGTCAAGATGGCGGATGCAAAGTCCCCGTGCAGCCGGGCCAGGGTCGGTGAGCACACTGCTGGCTGCTGTTTCAGAGGCACACCCTTTCGCTTGAAAAGAGCAATTAAGTCGCTATTTACTTTGGAAGACTGCTTAATCGTTTCCATCAAGGAGACTCACCACATTGCTTCATCACTTGGTAGGTTTTGGATTTAATTTCCCGGTTTTTGGAAAGGTTTCCTCTGGCTCCTTTGAGGTCTTCTTCCTTCACTGGAGGACGCTTCTTTTTCACAGGGGCTGGCTAAGAAACAGACGTATTGCTCACACATCAGTATTTTGTGTTTAGAAGCACAGGGAACAAACCTGTAGCCCAAAGGCTACAATGTTCAGAGTTGCTGATACAATATTCCACCAATTTCAATCCTGAGACTGTACACTCAGCTACTGCAGATCTTTGTACAGCCATCATTTCACTGCCCTTCCCAAAATCTGTTGCCATTATTACAGTTCTGTTCCAAAATTGTCTTCTGATTGTACAGCCTTTGAAAGCGACAGCGGACTGCCTAATTTATTTAGTTATTTATTTTTTAATATATTTTGAAATTTTCTCTGTCTAGCCCTGCCTGGTCATTCTGCAAGTACAGATTAGTAATTCAAGAAATCTGTACAACATTTGGGAAGGAAAGAAACTTCACTACTAAATTGTGCTTCTGCCTTAGTCTACTCACTACTTCCTTGGGAAATTAGTCAGAGAGATTCTGAAGTTTGGCTTGATTTAGTTGGAACAAACTTAACAACTGACCCATAGTTATTGATCTTAAAATTCAGGGAGCAGAAGTTTCTGAGCACTCAACAGCGTTGTCTACAAGCACGTACTGAACACATCTGAAACACGACTCAGAACCCAAAGAAGGAGAAGGAAACCTAATACAGAAACAGATGCATCATCAGGTGGTGCACTGCAACGTCCAAGTACTAATCTGTTTACAGATTATCTTGCTAGAAGAAAATCAGGATGTCCTGGTTTGGGCTAAATCAGAACTAATTCTGGTTTAGTGCTTTTAACTTTTCAGTTAAGTCTCCTCTAACTAACGGCATTTTCTGAAACAGCAGCCTGTTTTTCCAGACAGTGACTGCTCCTAGCAGTGATAAGGCCTGATGTTTATAGTTCGTACCAAGGAATGGTATGCAGAGAGGCCCTTGCTTATACTTGTTCTTATGGCAACCAAGGTCACTGCTGAATCTTGTACCCCATGTTGGGGTGCCAGGAGTGAAAAGGGTCACACCTACAGGGAGGAGTGAACTGGACAGGTGACCCAAACCTGACCAACAGAGTATTCCATCCCACATACGTCATATTCAGTATAAAGCTGAAAGATCACGAGGGTCTCACTCTCTTCGTCTCTTCCTCTCTTCTTCGATGGCCGACATCTGAGGAGGACTGACTCGTGCATCCCTGAGTCCAGTGCCTGAGTCCAGCTCCTGTATCCCATCCCTGTCTGCTGCCGAGTCCAGCCTGGGACTGCCCCAGTGCCAGCCCTGCAGCGTGGTGATGATGTATCGTCATCAGGGTGGGGGGAGTTGGGTT